AGATGGGTTTAAGAGCATATTTGACACAGCAGAAGAGAAAATTGAGGAATTGAAGACTGGTTATCAGAAAAAATTTAACTGAAGAATGGGGAGAAGAAAACATAAGAAATACAGAAAAGTGTCTAAACTCATCTGAACCTCAATGGAATACATACATGTAATTCAGTTCCCAGGAGAAGAGAGGTTTTTAAAGCATCATTCAGTGAAAGAATCAGTATTTGAACAATTACTTACAGAGAAATTTCCAAAACTGATGAGAGACACGATTTTAGATAGAATCAAGGAGCTCTGCTTGCCCTAAGTAAGATAAATACAAAGAATCAAACATAAGCCCATCATAGTAAAATAAAATATTGCTGAAAATAAAAGAAAAAGAGAATTTTTTTAAATTGCCAGAGGAAAAATACCTCCATTGAAGAACAGTGAGATGGACAATTGACTATTAAAATTAGTATTTGCTGGCTCTAAAGCATGAAGAAAAGGTGGAAGTCAGAAGACATACCCAGAGTGGTGAAAGAGAATAGCTCTCACAATGAAGTTTACACGACAAAAACATTCTCTTAAAAGGTAGGCAAAACTAATTTGTTGTGAGAAAACAGAACAGTGGTTGTTTGAGGCTTTCAGTTAATGCAGGGATGCCTGGCCGAAGGAAACCAGGAACCTTTTGGGAGGATGGAAATGTTCTGTTCCTTGATTGTGGTGGAGGTTTATTAAAACTCATCAAATTGTGTGCCTCAAACAGGAGCAGTTTGTTGTTCAGAAATTACATCCCAGTGAAGTTGACTTAAAAGCTGAAGGCAGATTTTTGTGTTTGGCTAAGATTAAGAAAGAGACTAGATTTACCCTCCCATCTGAAACCACTTAGAAACTACACAAAACAATGATACGGTGATTTGTATGACATTGGACATCAGGCCATGAAAGATGGTGATCTCTGGGAGCTGGGGCGCCAGCGGAAGCCCAGAGGTCTCCCTGAGGTGACACTGAGATGTGAGGCCAGTGAGGTTTGGGTTCACAGAGCTGAGTACTGCCAAGTACCTGGTGGAGTGCTTCCTCCACGTGAGGAAACTACCTAAGGCCAGGGTAAGACTCACCTGAAAGCTTGTGAAGGGCAGATCCTCAGAAACTGCTCCCTCCAGGCAAACTGGAGAGCCTCTGCGTTCACATGGTCTGGGGTTGAGTCTCTGAATGGATTTGCTGCAGTAGTGGGGCAAAACTATCCTCAAGTTCAACTCTGCCCTGGTATGACCTAACAGCACGAAATGAAAGGATCAAACTATCTCCAAAGTGCAAACTGTTGTACAATGAAACACTTCATAGTGACTGTTTTGAATTTCTAGGTTAAATCAGGCAGTTTGGTTGGTTGTGTGAGAACGGTTAAGAGCTGGGTTGTCCTCACGGCCTGTGCCGCCGTGGCGGCCTTGCTGTGGCTGGGACGCCAGGGGGAGAGATGAAAAGGCAGCACTTCTGGAGCGTCCGGAGCACTTGGTGATTCCTGTTGGGAGTCAGGAGGGGACTCCGACTTCACATCCATCCTTCCGGGAACTCCGGGCTGTGTAAGTCAGATTGCAGTTGCTGTTTCTCTGATTTGCTATTAAAGTGCCTTTTTATTTTTTTAAATGAAAGGAAGAGCAGCTTTATGTGTGTCTGTTCCCCGCTGTGGGAGTCCACGCCACTTTCAACGGGCGCTGAAAAACACTTTGCTTTGTTGAGATTCACCTTCATCTCCAATATAACCTTAGTCCAAAAATTAGGTAGAATAATTTTCCCCACTTTATTCTTTCTAAATATTCTTTTAGCTGTTCTAGTTTTTTTGCCTTCCCTTATAAATTTCAGAACAATCTTGTCTATAGTTTATCTGTAATAACAAAAATCATCCCTTTTTCTAATACGAACATTAGTTGAGTGTCCAGACACCTCCATCAATGCTCCAGGCGAGTGGTTGACGTGCAGGCATGGACTTGCATAGCATGACCCCAGGATTACCTGAAGCAAAGCCCTAGAGTGGAGAGAAACCCCTCCTGTTCCCAAGGTGGCTTCTGGTGCCACCACAGCTCTATTTGGAGCCTTGCACGCAAGTGTTGTATGTCCATGAACATGAGCCCAGGCAGATGTGCGTCTGTGTGTCTCAAAACCCCCAAACGTTAGCTCTAATTTCGTTTACATTTGTGCTTTCGCCTGAAATGTTCTGTATCACGTTTACGTAACTCCTTCTTAACAACTTCTCACATTCTGGCAGGGAACGTGGTTGCTAGCTCAGGATTCTAGGAGCCCGAGTTCAGAGAATGCCACCTACCTTGATTTAATTGCAGTAGAAATTCAGGATGCAGTTGTGTTGTCACCTTAGAGGATGGAGCAGTGACATTTGGCACAGTTTCAAACTGGAGGAAATCTGACATTCTAAGAGATGTCCTAATCCTCTCAAAGAAGCCTTCCTTTCACGACCAGCAAAAACTTTTGTTCTCCCAACTGCAGGTGGAGTTCCCTAAACTATGGCAACTCAGTCCAAACAAAACGGCACTCAGTCTCATTGTCCTTGGATTCTGCTTATCCAGCGGTTGTGGGGAGGTTTCCTTCCTTATCTTCTCTCCTCTGAACTCCCTTTTTCCCCCTCTTTCTCTTTTCTTTTTTATGAGTGATTCCTTTAGAATGCTGCACAGTGAAATCTTAGGCCTTTATCTAAGGAGTTTTAAAAAGCCAGCCACAAATCCAGTGTCACTGATGCTTTCTGTTGAACAGGGGACTTTTGTCTCTCATTGTTGCACAAGAAGGCTGATCTGGGAGGTGCAGAGCCAAACAGCAGATGACTCGGAGCCCCTTCCTTTCTCTGGGCTGCCTCATCTCCATGGCCCCCCTGCAGGGAGAGAGCAAGGGCCTGGCTGGGTTGAGGACTTCCTTTGTAGTACATGCAGAGCTGGCCACTATGTTCTTTCTTGTTGAGACCTGATAGGGTACTCCATGTAATTCTAAAGCCAGGATGAAATCTCTACCTGTGGGAGTTCTGCTCTAAGCATACGCTGCACTCAGACGTTTGGAGCAGGCCAGCTGAGATAAGGCTGAAATGTCGGTGGTGTGCAGTGGGTTTTACTTGATTTCTTTTGTTTGGTTTTTCCTGCATGTGGTCTGCAAAATGACTGAGTCCTGAATCTGTTTTTGTTAATAATCACAATGGAGCCACGATAACAGAAGGTTGTATGCTATTTTAAAAATTTTCCAATATATCAGTATATTTGCAAGTTTCAACCTTGGGATTTTACCTCCTGATTCCTGGAGCAGGCCGGGTACAGTTCAGAACTTTTGGGCAGCCCTCAGGTCCACGGGTCATGTAAAGGCTGCCAAGCCACCTGGTCAGCTAGGAAGCAGGCAGTGGAGGGGAGGCAAGAAAGATCCTCCCCGCCCCGTGACATGTTCTGTGTTATCACTATTCGTAAACATTTGACTTGAAACGTTGAAAAGAGTTGTTCAGGTTCACAGTCCCTTGTATAAAATGTGAAGAGCTGGATATGTTTCAGAATTCAGAAACGTCTAGGTTTTAGCCAGGGAATAAAATGCACGTAGCATATAGTAATGTTCCCAGTGGGATTGGGGACAGCACCCCACAATCAAACAGGTTAATATTTCTCCAGGGGTGAAAATCGAATATTTACACAAAGAAGAATAAATTAAAAGTATTTTGTGCCAGCTCCTGTCACGTTTTGCTGCTAAATGTGTTTGCTTTAAACTTGGCTTTTATCTTTCAGCTTTTGGGTGGCGCCTAAGGGGCTGTGTGTTGCGGTGGTAGGAGAGGAGCAGGACCAGCTGCGCTAAGGCCTGGCTGGTGTGTTCAGCAGAGCCTGTCACAGGGCCGGCCCTCGTGACCACATGGCTCTCCCTGCTGGCTACTTTCTCCTCCGTTCTCTTTGCTTTTCTGTCAGACAGGAGTGATATTTGCTTTATGGGCTGTTGTAAGGATAAGCTAATGTTAAACAGGAACATAGTGATTGACATATAGTGAGTGTTCATTAAATGCTAGGGATTACAATTTTGCCTCGTCCCTCCCCCTGCCCGTTTATGGGATGAGAATGCCCTGGAGCAGCAGTGGCGGTGCCTCTGGGGGAAGGGGCCTCAGTGGTGTGGGTGGCCCTGGTTTCACTGCAAAATCAAAAACTCCAAATTTTTGTATTGAAAACTCATTTCTTCTTAAATGACTAACACCACCTTAAAATTGGTTTGCAAAATGATTAGACCTTTCAGTGCTGAATAAATGTTTTGATTAACAGATTTAAATCTCCTGAATGCTTCGTTATAACTGTATCTGCAGAAGGAATATTTACCCCTCGCTGATTTGCGGTTATGGGGCCCTCTTACAGTTTCTATCCAGTCCCTCATCTTTTAGAAAAATATTTGAAAAGGGCATCGTCGATGAAGCTAGTGCTCTAACAAAGATATAACTGAGGTTTATAATTTAGTATATTAGAAAAATAGCATTGGAAGATGTCTTCCAATTTTACCAAAAAAAAACCCCAAAACAAAACAAAACAAAAAAACTGCAAGGACATTAGAGAGCTTTGTAGGGCAAAACAATGTATTTTAAAGTATCTTTGGTAAAGTAAGCTTCTGCTTTTAAATTTGTAAAGGCCTTCCTTCTAAAAGTTGGGGCAGGGGGTGGGGAGATCATTGAAAAAGAATTGCCTTTTGTTTATAGCCTTATCTTGTACTTTGTAATCCATCAGCAGAAATTCCCTTAAGTATCAACATCTGTTCTAATGATGCATGATCTTCACATGCATGAGATTTTATTACTCTGGCCTTTTCTCGTAATTCATGAAGGCTTATAATTACAGATACTTGCTCTACTGTATTGTTTGGAATAGAAACAGAAGAATTAAAACAGAAGGTTTTCAAGAGATTAGAGATGTTAGCGCTTTGGTGGGCATCTGCTCTGCAGGACTTAGTAGCACTTAAGGGGGCCAAAGTGGATGAGCGTCTGTTTATTTGTATTGTGTTGCCTGCCTTCACAGCTAAACTATCAGCAAAAAGTCGGCATCATGTACTGCAAAGCTGGACAGAGCACAGAAGAAGAGATGTACAACAATGAATCAGCCGGCCCAGCCTTTGAAGAGTTCCTTCAGCTGTTGGGAGAACGTGTTCGGCTCAAAGGATTCGAGAAGTATCGTGCACAGCTTGACACCAAAAGTAAGAAATACTTACACGCCCTTACTGGGTTTATTTTCCTCCTGCTGTGTTGATGTCCACCTGCTAAACTGCGCATAAAACAACGCTGCCACTTGTTGCAGAAAACTCCCAGTGATGGAGGAGGGGAAGCCAGAGAGGGAGGGATGTGGCTGCAGAACAAGCAAAGGCCATAATCAGAGCGGCGAGGGTCAGACTGAAAACCAGTGTTGTCGGAGGAGTGGATGGAATACAGTAGTGGGTGCAGATCTGCTTCTTGGACAGTGTGGCATAAATCTCACTGTATTTAGCGGAATGTTCAAGTGATTAAAAACTCTAGCAACTTATGACCATCTGGTCGTAAGCCCTAGAATTTTCAACTTGCATTAATTCATTTCATGAGCCTCATGTTTCTCTTTGAGTCAGCCTTTGCATAGTTTTTATTCATTTTTGTATTCTTGTAATATCTAGGAAGTTTTTGTTAGCTTATTTTCTATTATTATTGTCCACCATCAAATCTCTTAAGAAAATAGGCTTCGTAGAGTCAGTATTAATTTGGCTCATAAAATGTGTTGATTAAAAGCACAATAATGAAGCAGTCTGTTTACTTACTGCTCATGAGCATGCAGGGTTGTCCATGCTCACTGCCCAAGTCACTAAGAAAATAGTTGAGTTCACAGGTACCCATTTTGACTAGGGGATGTGGACTCCTGCTGCGTGGGTGCATGGGAGCAATTTTCAGATTTGTCTCTAGATCCGTCCATCGACATCTCCGACCTTTGTCTTTGAGAGGGTCTTTGGATTCACACATCCATATTGCAGTCTGTAGTAATCTCTCTGATTTTCCGCACAGGAAATTAAATAAGAAGTTGAGTCATGAAAACAGAAAAGCATTCATAAACTACTGCGGGAAGAATTTCCTGTTGCCATGGTTTTGCTGTTGCCGACTTGGAAACGACATGTGAGGGAGACTGTTAAAACCCATAGATAGCCTAGACCTTAAAATATTATTTTAGCATTCCATGCTCTGCTTGCAACTGCACACAATTTTAAATCTCAGTATGTCCTTTAAATCTCAGTTTGTCCTTAAACTCCTTTGTCCAGATCTTCTGACATCTACTCTGCACAGACCATTCTGGTTGTCCCAGTTTGTTGTGTCCTGTGAGTTGTCATCACCACCGAGAGCTATCAGACGGGTCGGGGAAGAGAATGCAATAAGCACCCTGATTCTGCGAATGAACGGCCACACTGGGAGTCAATAAGATTATCTATTATTTGTGTGTTTACACATTCCCAGCCCCCTCTTGATGATGAAAAACTACATGACAAATGTATAGCAAGGCCATACTTAAGCACCATGGCACCGAGTAAGGCAGCAGAATAAGCAAAATAATCATTCTGTGGGCGTTTTGCCCCAATATCTCAGTGACCGTAAAGGCTAGAGGGATGTGAGCCTGGATGGCACAGGTTTCTAGGTATTTACAACACTCAGCAGGGAATGGTTCCTTTTCACTAAACTACTCTCCTTTAAGGCTTCTTGTGAGCTTTCAGAGCGTAGCTTTGGAGAAGAGCTCATAGTTTTCTGTCCCTTCAGAGTGCCTAGTTTCCTAAAGTGAATGAAAAGTAGGAAAGTGTTTTTATTCTAAAGCCCTTTAGAAGACAGTATGTATATTTATCTCTCCTACTCCAAGTTAATAGGGTCACAAACTAGAGGGGACCATTAGTCTCATCATTTAAACAGGTATTAACTGATAACAGACCACAGAAATAGGGACCAGCCAGCCTCGGCACACCCCAGCAGCCCCTTACTGGCTACGGCACACCCAGAGGTGAGAGGAGACTTGGCTCCATGTGCTGTGAGGTAGTATCGCCACAGTTCATCTAATTTGATTTTGTGTCAAGAAACTTTTCTTTCAGTGTAATCCTTAAAAAGAGAAAATGCTTCCCAGAACAAGCATTCCTAGAGAATGAGAACATCTACACGTGACAGTGTAGATGCCACGTGGATCTCTGGATTTGTAGTTTTTATCAAATTAAAACATTATTTGTCAATCTGCATTTCTCTATTTTTTCTGCCTCCCCTTCCCTTAATTTTTAACTGTTTTTTTCTGTTTTTTGTTTGCATAATTCCTATTAATATATATGCAAATTCACTGAGTTTTTCTTTTCTTCCACAGTGTCTTAATCTGCTGTTAATCCAATTCAATGAAATTTTCACTTAGAATATTGTAATTTTCAGTTACACTTAATTCTCTTTTCTTATATTTCCCTTTTTCTCTTCATTATGTTCATATTGTCCTTTAAATCCTGAACATATTTATAATAGCTGCTTTTGAAGTCTTCGTGTGCTAATTCCATCATCTCTGTCATTTGGAATATTCTCCTGCTTTTGAGTTAGATTTTTCTGCCTCACATGTGTGGTTATTTTTGATTGGATAGTGAACATTATAAATATAAATGTTTAACTGTAGAATGTATGGATTTTGTTATCTTCTTTTTTTTCCACTTTTTTTTTAAGATTTTATTTATTTTTTAGAGAGGGAAGGGAGGGAGAAAGAGAGAGAGAGAGAAACATCAATGTGTGGTTGCTGGGGGCCATGGCCTGCAACCCAGGCATGTACCCTCACTGGGAATCGAACCTGTGACACTTTGGTTCACAGCCCACGCTCAATCCACTGATCTACGCTAGCCAGGGTCTGTTATCTTCTTTAAAGAGTGTTGAGTTTTGTTCTGGTAGGCAGTTAAATTACTTCCAGAACAGCCTGATCTGTATGAATCTTGCTCTGAAGCTTTATTGAAGCATACCTAGAACAGCCACTCCTTTCTGACTGATTTAGCTCTCCTGCTAAGGCAGGACTTTTCTTGGGTGTGAATACCTGCCTATCCAATGAGGTGTCTCTACTCTGGTCATCCCCATGTGAGCCGTGAGAATTGCTTGCCTTACAATTCTCTGGTAGTGGTTCTTTCACTAATAGTTTTTCTTTGCATTGCTTTGGAATGTCATTCTATGTATGTGCAGTTTAATATGCAGCCTGCATATTGTGGGGGACCCCTGTGCAGATTTGAACCTCTATAGTAAGTACTACTAGAGCTATTTGAAGCTCTATAGTAAGTACTGCCGTGGCAGGAAAGGGAAGTCCCTGATACTTTTTACAGATGCCATCTCATGTAATCTCCACAGACCCTGGTAGGTATCAGTTAGCCCCATTTTACAGATTTTTTTTTTTTTAGATTAACCAACAAGTCAAAGGTTAGACAGCTAGTAAGTGTTAGGGAAAACAAACAGATCCTAGTGGTACAGTTAAGAAGTACTCGGAGAAAGCATAATGTAGAATTAAGGACAGCGAAGCCCAGAGCTCTGCCTTGTGGCTGTGTCTTCCATTCTCTCGGCCCTTGGACTGAAAATACCCAGTTCATCTCCTGAGACAGTCCACCTTGCCCTGTATTGTAACTGTATTCAGATTCTAGTGCTTTGGTGAAGGAGGGAGGGGCTTAGGGAAGGAAGAACTGATGGAATTATTCAACCATTTCTTCTTTTTCCCCTTTTTTATACAAAGTCCATTTTCCCATCTCAGAAATAAGGAGTTCTAACAATTAAGCTACAAATGTGTCAGGGGTTAGAACAGTTCTATAATGAAGGGATTCCCAGTAGTAGATTTTTTGGTTCCTTTTCTTGTTTCCTTGTTTGGATGACATAATCCCTATAGATACTTAACAATCCACTCATACTGAAGTAAATACAAAAATAAACTTCCCACCAAGCCATTTGTTATTTGAAAGCTGGAGACCACCCTCATTTTTACCCGTGAATATGGATTATTATTTTGGAAATTCGTTTCTGCCTGAGGCTTGTTTGTCAAGTCAGCACAGAGGAGGCTGAGAAGCCCTTTGTTAGTCATTCCTGCAAAGACTTCATTAATTCGCTACAATATTAGTGAATGTCTGTTGCTTCTCCCATCTTTTAACAGTGTGTGTTGCTAAAACACTATTGAGATTCAGGGTCTTAGAAGACACTTAGACTTTTCATAAAGAAAATAAACCCTTCTTTATTTGGAATATCTAACCTTTGATAAGGAAAACGATGAAACTAGCATCTTTAAAAGCTTTGCACATGACAAGGGCTACTTGGCGTCCCAGAGACTAATGAGAAAAGGAGTCTTTTTTAGCCTCCTAACTCTGAATTGTATTATAGTGTAAGGTTCTTTGTCTTTAAGTGTTCCTGAGATGCACTTGGCAAAGAAATTAAAATATATAAAAGGCCCTACTTAAGGAAACGATGCTTTTTACCTGCACAAAATTCTAAATTCTAATCTGTACATTTCTTGAATATCTTTTATGGACTATAGCTTTTCATATACATTATTTCACTTAATCCTCAGCACAGTGAGATTACACAGGAGCAGACAGGTAAAGGGACTTGATTGTGGTAATTTAGCAAATGATGCTACTGGCATTCAGATTCAGATCTTCTTACTTCCAAGTTGGGAATCCAGGTCATTGCAGCCATCTTGCAACGTGAGCAGGAGGTAGAAAGTAGTAGTGGCCGATTCCTAAGTGTCAGCCTCGCACCTTCTCTTGTCCTTTCCTCTCAGTTTTGAGAAGCCTGGAGTCCCAGGCTCATTGATGTGCACACTCACAGATCCGTTGTACTGACAGAGTATGAGTGTGCCTGTCGTGGAGAAGGGTGGTACAGACTCTGCTTGATCTTATCCTGATGACATTGACGTAAAGTTAACTCGTCTCCTGGTCATGGCTAAAGGTACACTGAAAAAATATTAGTGAATCTGGTAGATGGAATTCAGGTGCAATTCCTGACTTTCCCACATACGTCATTGGTGAGTGAAAGAAAGAGTACCACAGGGCAGAAGTGTGCCTGCCTCCTCACAAATGTGGGCCAGTGTTCCCAGGATCAGAGCATGGCCCTGGCTGGGTTTCTGAGCGTTGACTTCAGACCCTGAGGCAAGGTTGCATGGACAGGAGCTCTGGGGGTCTGCGGTGGACGGCCCCCGGCAGCCAGCTACCCATCATAATGTTTCAGACTGCGGCAAGAGTCAGACCCACAGCCTGTCTGATTTTTGTTTTGGCATTTGATGTGTTTTCCAGTGGCCAGGGCATTAATAAACGGAGCTTAAGCTTTCTTCATTCTGTTGATTTTATTACTCTACATGTGTTTATTTAATGAGATTACTTTTCTCCTTGTGTTCACAAATATTTAAAACTAGGAACTTTCCAAAAATCAGTTGCATAGGCTTGGTTTCTTTCATTTACCTTTTCTTAACTCAGACATATCCATTAGTAACCAGCAAATGGTTATATAAAAGTCTAATTAGCTTTTGCCTGATTCAGATTCATACACATAGACCTTTATCCTCCAAGTTTTAGATTAACTAAAAGCAAAAGAGCTGAGCCTAAAGAGAAGTCAAGGATGAATATGACATTGACCGTATCTGAAATCGCTCTCCAAACTTATTAACCTGTTCATACCATCTTCCAGTAGAAATGCCCACCAAATGTGTAGGACATTTTCACTTATCTGTACCTTTCAAAGCAGCTAAGAAGAATATTCTCATCATTGCTCAATTACTCGGTGTCATCTTATCATCTAGTTTGAATATTAGAAATTTTACTTCCCGTGGCTTAGCATAGAGTGCTGGCCTTATTAGTGGAAATTAACCACTCGCAGGAGGATGACTTGGAGGCAAATGACACGATTATCAAGATGACCCACATGCTGCCCAGACTTACTGTTTAAGTTTTAAAGCTCCATACAGACATGAAGGATCATTATCGTCTTTTCATTCCTCTTCTACAAGCATATTTTCCCTTAAAAATGAACTCAATATACCCTCCATACAAAGAAAAAATGATTCTTGTCATTTTTCTGATTGTCATTCTGTTAAATTTTTCATGGTTTCAGGGTTTTAAGGTTATTAAAAATATAATAACAACATTGGGTGCCTTATTCGTTAGTGAATATAACAAAACCTCATTTTCCGTTCTCTCTGGTAAAGCCTAGCAAATTCTACTGTGTACACAGTAATTTCAAGATTTGGAAATTCCTTTCTGAAAAGAAAGGAAAGTTTCATTGTTTTGGCCCTAGTTTCATCTTTAAAACGTTTGCAACTGTTTCCACACTGTTTAAAATCATCAACAAAACTGGGGCTTTCTGAGGTCTCCCGAGAAAGGCCGGTGACACAGCACACGCTGTGTGGAGCGAGGCAGACGGAGGGCGAGGAAGGACACCAGCAGAACTACAGAGCGCCCTCAGGGGTGTCTTCCTTGCGCTTTCCCCTCTGGCGACATCTTCCTCTTAGAGCTAGACATGTAAAGCAGAGTGTCTATCTGAAATGAGTAGTGGATGACAGTTTTTTTTTTCCTAGTTCATTAATTTTGCTTAAAATTGACTTGAAACACATGTAAGTACACGTCAAAGCTGACACATTCACTTTAAAGTTTTAAAATGTACTAATTTGTTCTAGAGGTATTTATAGCAAGGAATCTTAGTGATAGATAAGTTCTTCAGACTCAAGACTTGTCTTAAATAGTTCAGTTATTCATTGTAGTAATTAGTAGGGGTGTGTGTGGGTGTGTGTGGGGGGGGGGTGTGTGGTGGCAATAATTAACTTCTAGAAGGTATTTTTCTTGGAGAGTTATATATGTTGGTACATATATTTGCAACTTTTGAAAAGGAGTCTTCTTCTTTTAGCTTGTTCTTAAAACCCTTCGCATTTTACGTCGGCTTCAAAAGTCAGATCCTCCAAGAAGCTCAAGGTTGAAACTCAGGGCTCTAGACCTCCTTTACAGGTGTCTGCTGGTTACCCCTGTGGTCTATTCTTGGAACCTCGCCTAAGGGCAGTGGAACTACTGCATTACAGTCTCCCTGGGGGTGTGTATTAAAATAGATTTCTCTACCCAGCCCTACTCTTAGTGAGCAGTGTTCCTGGGGGTGGGGCATGGCAATTTGTCTTTTAAACTAGCTCCCCAGGAGACCCCGTGCATGCCAAATTTTTCGACTTACCACCCTTTCGATATATGCCAGAGGCCTTGTCTTGCAGCATCATTCTCGAAAATTCAGTGAAGTGTTTTGGTCCTCAGACTTATGGTTGAGGGAGGCTTGAGTTGACCCAGAATGAACGCACTTCTTTCATTCAGCAGCCTGGAAGTCCAGGTCCTTTGAATCTAAAGTTATTTCCTTTCAATTGAGCAATTGGTAATTCTCGGGTTTCCAGGTATTTAGGGCACATTGATTTATTAATGACTAAGGGGGTAAATGTCACTTTTGTTCTCCCCTAAGGAAGATGAGTGTAGAACACATTCCTAAAAAATTGTCAGACATTGCTATAATACCTACGTCATTCATTGTTAGAATCTTGGTAAATTCCCATCTGTTTGTTAAGAACAAAATAGTTTTATTGCTTGAATCAGAAATATTTGAAAAGATGTTCTTAACTTGATGTCTGTGAGAAGAAGTCAGAAATCTATGAACTTACATGGGAAATAATTTCACATTTATTTTCATTGACCCTGTCAACCGATGTTTGCGATGCCAATTCAGCACCAGCAGGATTCCCGAATTCGGAGTGTGGTGAGGAAGGAAACTATTCAGTGCACACAGCTCAGTTATGGTACAGCATGGCTGTGGAATGATATGGCCATGAGGCGAGGCCCCTCTCTGGCTAGACAGCTCTGCCAGCTCTTCTCCACGCTGGTCCGGAGAGGTGTCTTTATTGTTTTGCCTTTGGTGTTTTGTCTTTGGTGTTTCAGCTCTAGCTGGGAAAATTCAGTCTTCTGTGGAAAGAGAAGTTCATTCCCTGAGTTGGAGGGAAGCTGACTTACATAGAGAGAAATTCCTACCCTGGACTGTTTGGTCTGTCCTCATGCAGATGAGGACTGCAAATCCTTATAGTTTGATTGGTGCAAAAAGCACTGTCCTGATTGGATGGAGAAGATGCTAATGGGGATATAGCTGTGCAGCTCTGTTTGGATGGGGAATGTCTCAGTTCTATTGGCTATTGGTTGGAAAAGATGCTAACAGACAGGGGAAATCTCAGTTCTACTTGTTGAAATATGATTCCAGGAACTCCTTTATAAGAGTTGGCTGGAAGGCAGGAACACAGTGCAGGCAGGCCGTTTGGTTCAGGCTTCTCTGTAAAGCATGGCTTACATGAGAGGCTCCAGTTTAGAAAGAACCGCTAGGCTCTGTTTTCAAATTTGAGCCCAGGTGGCCATTAGGAGTCCTTCTTGGTAGGTATTGTCTCTCTCAGGGTCCACAGCCCCTAATTAAAATTCAGCATTTCCTTCTATTACCAATGTAGGCAACAAACCAGAGTAGTTAGTGTAAGCTCTACCTGTTATTTTACTGTCAAAAGAAAGCACAGGTCTTTTCATATCATATTGTAGGTTGTTGTAGATATTGTAAAATATTGTATCACCACTTCAAATTTATAATAGTTATTAGACCAGCTGCTAAAACGTGTTATATAAATCTTTTGTGAGTGTATCCTATTTTCAAATTACTTTGAAAACTGAAGTCTCAATATAATTGATTTCTGTTGAAACCTTATGTATTTTATTTCATGCATTTATAAATATTATTTGGAGAAGGAGTCTATTAGCTTCACTAGACTGCCAAAGGGAATCAAGTACTAAAAAATGGGTAAGAACGCCTGTTCTAGATCTTGTTAGGATCTTCTCATCCTAAACCATCTCCTCTTCTTGTTTTGAGGTAGTTCTCTTATGTTAACTATTTTCCCTGTTCTTCTAGTCATCTCATCATCCTTGCATTTTATTTTATTTTATTTTTTCCTGTAGCTGACTCCACTGGAACCCATTCTCTGTACACAACCTACAAAGACTATGAAATTATGTTTCACGTCTCTACCATGCTGCCATACACACCCAACAACAAGCAACAGGTAAGAGGTCCTTGTGTTATCTGAGTTTCTTCGCCCTTGAGTTATTTCCCCCAGAAGCCTAAATGGCAAGTTTATAAAATGTTAAACCAGAATTTAATGTTGCACCTGCCGCAGCAGCAGGAAACTGTACATTGTGGAAGGAAGAAATAGCAAATGAGTTGAAAACAAATGAAGAGACACAAATTCTAGGTTAACAGCCAGCTGGGTGGCTTTGTGAATTAATAGTTTGCTTTTCGCCCACGGAGACTGAGGTTTTTATGAAATCTGAAGAGAACAAGTTGAAATCATGCTGATTAGATGACTCCGCAGGGTTGCAAAGAACGTGTGTGAGTGGGTGAAGTTTCATCTCAAGAGGCCAATGTACAGAGCAGGAAAGTACTGAGGTTTCATTTCGTACTGTAAAGGAGAAACTAACCTGGAGAAAAAGTAGAGTGTCAATGGGATCTCAGAAAAGTGTTTTTTCTTAACATGTTTGTCAGGAGATAGTAAGGAAGATATATAACAATTGCATTTATGCATATCATACACAGAGTTTCTTTATAAAATATCTAAAAGCACAATGCCTATTGCTAAAATGTAGCCACTGAGAAACTACAGTGTGGAAACTAAGAAGGGACCGAATATTACAGAGCAAAATGGAAACTGACAGTAAGTATTGTTTTAGGATATATGGTAGTTGTTGTTTTAAAAAACTATTTCAAAATAAATAACACCAAACTGAAATTTAAAAGAACCAGAGCTACCCTCCTTTCAGTGGCTATTATAAACACAAGGAATCCAATATTACTTCTGACCTTGAAATGGGCATGGACTGTGTTACCGTCAGTGTTTGTGCTGACAGAATGCAGGCCCGCTGCAGCATGGATCGCAGCCTCCTGCTTCAGACTTAGCCAAATGCCGGTCTCATCTAACACTTTGTCACTTTGGGCTTGATTAAATCATAAATCTGGGTAATAAAGTTTTGCCTCTTATGAGTACCAAAGTAATCAGAATTAGGAAGCAAAGCAGTGAATCATCTGTAACTCTGAAATAAGCCAATTTTAAGATGAAGTCCCTGATCTGAGTTTGTTGACAATTTGTTTTCTGCAGATTCCAAGTTTTATATTTCTCTGAGAGGAAAACATCATGCTAAGAAAAATATGCTGAACCTCTTTTTCTGACCAGAAATAGACAAAAAATTTAATAACATTAACAAGTGATCTTTAAATGGGAGAAAAAGTCTTATTTTAACTGATTACTAACAAGATTCAATTAATTGTTTATTTCTAACAAAAGGAGTTGAAATGCTGAGCAGAGTGAGTTGGCATTTAAATGGACAGCTATCGGAATTATTTAATTTTGGAGTCCAATCAAGGCAGAAATATTATCTTCCTAAATTAGAATGAAAGAGTAATTGATATTGTTACGTAATAAGAAATTTTAGCAATGAGGGGAAATTGGGCCAACTGTAATAGAACAATAATAAAGAAAAAGACATTTTAGTTTTCTAGCTAAAGAATTTACTTCTATGTAGATTACTTTATGCTTGTGGGGAAAAACAGAGAGAATGCATCTTTTACAATCTTTCTGTGCCCTGACTGGTATGGCTCAGTTGGTTGGGTGTCATCCCACAAAGTGAAAGGTTGCTGGTTCGATTCCCAGTCAGGGCAGTGTGCCCGGGTTGCACGTTTGGTCCCAGGTTGGGGCGCGTGCTGGAGGCAACCAGTCGGTGTTTCTCTGTCACATCAGTGTTTCTCTCCCTCTCTTTCTCCCTCCTTTCCCATCTCTCTAAAAAATAAATAGAAAGAATCTTAATTTAAAAAATCTTTTTGCAGGAATTTGTTTAAGTATTTTCATTATATTTAATGTGAGATGGATAGATAGATTTATTTCTACTTGGGCCCTTTATTAAGACATTAATATTATGTATGAAGCCATCGTTTGAAGACAGAATGTATCAGAAAGACAGTGACATCGTGTAGGCGGGAGTGACATAATACACAGACAGATCGTTTGTGCTTTTGGTATGTCTGTGATCCTGAGTGGATTAATAGTCTTTAACAACGGGTATATTCTATATGGCAATCAGTACAGACCAGCCTTTATGTCCGTAACTTCCGATAATATGTCATGTTTAGAAACGAAGTAAGTGGCCTCATTAGAAGTTAATTTGGGATGGTTTAAAATTCCAAAGGTTAAAAGTACACTTCCTGAACATTCTAACTCCCAATTCTCAACCCTAATCTAAAAGGCCATTGTTTCTCTCAGCTGGCAGCCAATACTAGATCATTGATTTTACTGGTATGTACTTAGTTTATATAAGTTGGAGTCACTGAAGAGTTTTTCTTGTCTTATAAATGCAAGCTTGTGTCAATGGTGGACAATTTATATAAATGCCATGTTATTTTCCTTATAAAAGCTTCAATATAATAAATATGAGAAATACAAAATTTGGTTAATTTTTCTTCATAATGTTAGATTCAACTATCTAGTAAACACCTTCTGAAAAGGCACGGCCTGGGATGACCCAGGTGCCTGAAGTTGAAAGCCACCTTCCCAAACACCACGCAATGTGGGACAGAAGGTGATTTCAGGTCGCTTTCATGCTACTTAAAGAAGCTGCTGAAACTTGAATTTTAACCTGCTCTTTACAAATTCTAGAATATTACTGATTTCTACTTTCCTAGTTTGTGGCACAAAAAGTATATCAGAAAACACCTTAGCCATATTTCTTTAAATGAAAGCAATTAAAGCAGAACATAAATTGTGTTGTGATTACTTCAGCCATTCTCGTCTCTAAAAAAGCATTTTCCCTATGGCAAGTTCCCTTCTTATAGGGAAATGGAACAAAACTGTTGTTATGGAAACTAAGGATTTAGAGACGCTGGTACTTGGCATAATATTGGATAGATCTATTTGAATCAGCTATATATGCTATGCAAATTTCAGAATATTCTTTTCCATATTCTTCCTTCGATGAAATAAAGCAGCCTAAATATTGACAATAAAGATTACCTGCCTTAATATGTACTGATTAATAATGAATGTTTTTAGCCCTGGCTGGTGTGGATTGAGCGGTGGCCTGCAAACCAAAGGGCCTCTGGTTCGATTCCCAGTCAGGGCACATGCCTGGGTTGCAGGCCAGGTCCCCAGTAGGGGGTGCACAAGAGGCAACCACCCATTGATGTTTCTCTGCCTCTCTTTCTCCCTCCCTTCCCCTCTGTCTACAAATAAAAATAAATAAATAAATAAAATTTTGAATAATGAATATTTTCAATACTGTTACATAACAGAACTGAGGAGGAAAAAGCAAAACATCATTTATGTTTGCTTATTTTTTTCTCTTAGCTCCTACGGAAGCGGCACATTGGAAATGATATCGTAACAATAGTTTTCCAAGAGCCTGGAGCACAGCCATTCAGCCCGAAAAACATCCGATCCCACTTTCAGCACGTCTTCGTCATCGTCAGGGCTCACAACCCCTGCACGGACAGTGTCTGTTACAGGTATGGGCGCCGCAGCAGAGGCTGGGTGGGCCTTGCCTGGGGCACACAGACGGCCCCACCCAGCTCTGCTTTCTCAAGGGGCCGTAGGAAGTCTCCTACTGTTTATTTTTGTCTTTAAACTATGCACGTGGATGGTTTATTCACATGGTGACGTAACCTGATGGCTCTGGCTTTACCCAGACTGTTGGTTAGACACCTGCCGTTTCCATTTGCACCTCCTCCTTAGGTGGTGTCCTTCATCCCTGCCATCTGGTCACCAACTAATTACTCATACTGCTAATTATATTTTGCTTTTGGCATGGCAAGAACAGAGAAGAATGATCAGAGTAAGTAGGGAAGAGAAGGTTGTGTTTTTTTTAATTACTAAATATTTAAAGAGCCCAAACACCTGCTGAGGACTGATCCACGCTAAGGTTTCTGACTGCAATATTAGAGGCCTTCCTGTGCTTTATGAAGGTTTGGTGGAATTGTTTCCATGTCCCTCACTGACCCAGTCTCATGGGTCTCAGAATTCAGGCATCTGTCTGCAGAGGCCTGTGTGAGAGTACTGGAGGGGCTTGGTGTTGGGAGGAAGGTGCTGGGTTGATAGGGGTGTGGTGCCAAAAAACAGATGTGAAAGGGCGTTCTGGCCTTAGGAAGATGTTTCTAATATGAACCTGTCCTTTCAGAATGTGAAGTTTTGTGATACCTTTCAATCTCTAAAATTTGGAAAATGAGGCTTGGTTAATTTTGGATATTTGTTTTTGAATTAGTATAGCCACCTATGAAGAAAGTGGCCAACAGATTGGTAATTGGACTGTTGTGTGATCCACAACTGCCTCATTCTAGGTGTAATGCAAGTTCATCTACACGAGGTGTAGAGCAAGCCAGTTCAAAAAGCAAAACAAGCAAATGTTACTGTGGACTACTGCTGACTGTCCTTGGGGAGACGTAACTTGTTTGAGGTCAGCTGGCACTGGGCAGAGCTGCAGTTCCCATGCACCTAGTGTCATTCTAGCGCCCAGTGTCGTAATGCCTCCCATGCCTTGTGGAGCAGGGCTCTTTGCTGCCCCCGCTGCTGACTTACCAGCTAGGTGTGTGGTTTCCTCAGCTCAGGGGTGGAAACATAAACAGAGGAGACCTAGATCTGAAGCCTCTTCTCTAGAATATGGCCTCTGAAAGCTTCTTTAGTTAGGTGTGGAATAAAAGTAGGACATTTGACGAAAATTGGAATGGGTAACTGTTTGCATTTAGAAAATACCCCAAGCCATTGAAACATGCTGGGTTCCTGCAAAGGATTTCATGCTGCTTTGTAGATAAAAAAACTAAACCTTTTAAATGATCATTAGGGAGTTGGGGAATGTGGGAGCCTATGCAGTTCCGTTCAAGGAGGGATTCTTCTTCAAAAGTCTTGGTAGCCAATAGAAATGTCATACAAGCCACATGTAATTATATAGTTTTAATAGCCATGCTTTTCCAAATAACAAGAAATAGCTAAAATTTTAATGGTATATGTTTTTGACCCAGTAATATATTTTATTTACCTGAAAATACCTAAATATTTTTTCAACAAGTAATTTTTTAATTTTAAAGTTTTTGAGATACTTAAGTTTTTGGACTATGACTTTGAAATCTAGGGTGCATTTTAGACTTACTGCTCATCTCAGGATACTCAGTTTTATTGGAAATAATCTGTATTTAGATTTCTTAAAATTTGCAATTGGAAAAGGAAATTCATGTACTCATATTTTTCTATACGTGCTTTTTTAAAAAGCGTTTTAAATAACTGAATCGAGTGTCAGTGTTTGAAGTTCGATATACTTTAGTACTCCTTGGCACACTAACTGCAGTGGAGTGCTCAGTAGCCACACGGGGCCATGCAAGTCTAAACAGACAGATAGGGAGGGAAGTCCTCTCCGCCTCCTCCAGCACTTGGCCAGATGAAGAGGTGACACCTCTTTGTTCTTTCCAGGCCTGCACCTCCCACCCCCAAGCCTGATAATCATGTTTTTTGCTGTGGTCTTCTTATTTTTAATTTGTTGCCTGGAGAGCCCATCTCCTTAGCCCCACATGTGGTTTGGGGGCCTCTCTCTGCAGGAGGACCCCGAACACCCCCGCTGAAGACACGCAGCTAGTCTGGAGTCTCCTCGGTGCCACACTTGTGTGAAGACCCAGTTCACTGCTTGTGAACTGAACTTTCCCCTTTTGTAAATCCAAGCCAAATAGTCCGTTTGTAACACCACTGAAGGAATCACAAGAAACTAAAATAGTCTTCTTTTCCTGTTGTGAACTTAAGGCACATTAATTTTTTCGGTCCTCCTCCAGCTGAGGTAGGCCTGTTTCCTGGGAGCACGCGGTGAGGTTAGCAGAGGCCCAGAAGAAGTAGGGCACGTCCCTCGTAGTATCTAGTGCCTGGGGGAGGGGACCTGCGGGGTTTGTTTTCTTGCGAAAAGTACAATATTAGGGAGTAGAATGGAAAATTTGTACCGATTGTAAAATAAAATGTGGGTTTTCAAAGAGTGTTTATATCTGTGAGTTTTCTTATACTTCAGCCACTCCCTGGCCTCCTAGGAGTATGAATCTGTAGACCTCTCTCATCAGGAGTACTTCGGTTGAAAAGTTAAGCAATGCATCAACTTATACTCATTTTAGTTCGTTTCACTTATACTAATATTTAATTTTATTAAGTTTTATTTAGTTATTTAAATTTTATTTACTTAAGTTTATGTAAATATCCCTAAGTGATGTACAGTCATTGAAATGCTTTTGATCCTTTAAAGCCTCCTGTTCCTCACCTTCTCCACTGTGAGCACTCACATGGGTTTGCCGACGTCTGCTTGGTGCCTGCCGTGGAGAAAGTGCGGAGTTCGTTTCTCAAAGGAGCTTCTTGCTACGACTGTGCAGAGAAGCGCGGGATCCATACAGACCTAAGTCATAAGAAATGTTTAATGAGAAAATGGGATTTGGAGTGTGTTCCCAAGCACGGATGGATGGGATGCAGTGGGGGGAAGGACTGGGTCTCGCCGTGGCCAGCAGAATGTGTGGAAGTGCAGCCACAGGACAGTGGAAAGCACGGGGAGAAGGCTGCTGCTGTAGGAAAGCTCAGGGGCCAGTGGAGGCCCTTAGAATGCCGGGCCATCCGATAGCACTGTGCAGCATAAACAGAGTCTTAGGAAGGCGTATCCAGTGTAACCATACAAGGTAGTCTCAGAAAGACAAATTTAGAATTTACTCTTGTTGTTCGTTCATTTTTCACCATTCTTGACAGCCCTTGTCATGTATGTGCCGGGCAGTCTTCTAGGCCTGGGATACAACAGGGGAACCAGGGGAGAAACATCCTTGTGGTAGATGTGGGAATGAGGCCTGAAATGGGTGTTCTGTCTCCCTGGAAACTTGACGTAGGAAAAACTGACTAATTCAAACTAATCCCAGAGGCCAGCTAACCTTGAGTAGTAGACAGAGCCAAGAACTAAGAAATTAATCACCAAGTCTGTGTACTAAAGCTTACGCCCATACCTGGTAAAAGAGCCTCTGGTCTCTATTATTTTATTTGTGCTATTACAGTGGGCTTAATTGGTCTCAGTTGATGGAGCAGGTTAGAAGCAACAAATCAAAAAGATAAAGGAGCTGTTTAGTGGCAAGGATATACAGAAAATATCAGTAAGTGATGACTGATAAGGGAGAGATGCAGAAAAACTATTCACATCAAAAATACAAATTCCATAAGCACCACAGTCTGGAGTCATTTGGTTTGGTGACAACCAAACAAATATACCTGAGGGCCTCACTGTGCAAAAATGGTACAAAATTATTTTTCACCATGTTTAACAACTAATGAATTAATGGATATATGCATTAATCATGAAAGGCTACTGCAAATATCACCAAAAGAGACAAATGTCACATCATGGGAGAACACAACCCCGTGAATGAACTGGTCCTGTCCCCCCCTCACCTCCCCAGATTGACTCTGAATCTGATCACACCTCTAGAGAAGCCAACTCACAGGAAATACAAAAAATGGAGCATGCTTGTATTCAGCAAAATCAGACTCTGGACAACTCTATGTGACAAACAGTCCAACTTTGTTGATAAATAAGTTACAAGAAATAAGAAAGAGAGGTGGAGGAGAATACACAGAACAAAAAAATTTTAAGATAAAATTAATTGCAATGTGTTGGCCTCATATGGAAGAAATTGAGACCAAAAGGCTGTTAATAAATCTTACAGTGTCTTAATTGAAAATTGGAACATTGATTCACCGTTTGATGAAATGAAAGAATTATTAATTTTAGAACTCGTACAGTAATGTGTTTATAATAATGACCCTGAGTCTTTGAAATAAATGTTAAATTACAGTCAGTAACTGTGTTTGGGAAGGTAGGAATATGCATTACTCCTCTCAGAAAGATTTCCATATCCAGTGGTTAAAATGTAATACATGTTGAAAGGAGTTAGTATGATGTAGCCCAGAAAGCACTTTGAATCAGACCAGACTGTTAAACCTCTCAGATCTTAAATTTCCCTTCCTGTGCAGTGGACGGTGGCTTCACATCTTAAAATCTCATAAACATCTCATGTAGGCAGGGAGTATGCTACATGCACATTAAATGCCCTGTACTTTTTCTTCTCTTGAAAAAAAGATAAATAAATATGGAAACTTCAACTAGCAGGAGAAATCAAAGTGGGTCAAGCGGTGGAAATGTCTTTCAGAAAGTCTATTCCAAGCCATAGATAATTAGCATTCCTATTGTCCAATATAGCTGAACTTCCTAAGACAACAATCTGAGCATGTCACTCTTCGTGCATACTGAAACCACTTAGGGTGAAGTTCAGGCGGCCTAGCAAAGCCTACAGCATGGAGTCCTTCAGGTCTAGGGTCTCCTGTCTCTCAGTGTCCACTGGCCGGCCCCTCAATCAGTCCTCTCCTCACTCTCTGTCTCATTCCGGAGACGTGTAGAGCTACTTAGAGCTCCCACAACACACCGTGCTCTGCCCCTCCTCTTTGCACATGCTGCTCCGGGGTAGGAATGCCTCTCCTCATACATACTCCCCCGCCCCTCCTTCCTCTGATGAATTACTGCTTTTCTTTTTTCTCTGGAGGGCTCCCCTTACCTCCCAGGACTAGCTAAAGTGCTTTTCTGAAGCATTTCCAGTAGCACTTTGCACCTCCCCAGGGGAGCATGCAGACCACTGGTTAGAGCCCCCACCAGACATGGAGTTTCTGGAGGGCTGAGCCTGTGTCGTCTCATCCTTGATTCTCAACATTAGCACAGTGCCTCGTGTGTAGTTGGTGCTCAGTGAGTGCTGGTGAAGGAATGCTGGGAGAAGTCCAAAGTCCCCAGGCAGAGACTGGTGGGCACATACTTGTTCTGCCACTGGCCTTTTCTGTCCTTTGCTCAGCTCTGCTTTCTTGAAAAGCTGGAAATCTGATCCAGACTCCAAGAAGGGGAAACTTCCCTCTACTGTTTTAATGCTAAATCCCTTCCTTTTAAATTTTGGGCTGAGAATTGTTTATTGCTGTTGCCATGGTGTTTCAGGAGTTCAGGTGTCTTATTCTTCTCACTTTTTTCCATTGAGATTTCTGTCCAGATGTGTCTGTAATATTCCCATGTATTAACTTGAAATTGGTTCTGTGTATCAAGAACTGCTACTTCATCCAAGGTCAGCAAATGTTACAAGGTCCAGGCCCACTAGAAACGGCCTAAGGTGGTCTCTTTGGCCACCTGATTTTTGTGGGTGATCCCTTTTTCAAGTATCTCAAGACTAGGAGGTTTAAAAATGTTCTTTCAGGGAAAATAAGTGTGGTCTTGTCATAGAGCAGGCTGTTGACTGTCCAGAAGCTCAAATTTCCAATCCTGGCTCTCTCTGACAAGCTCTGGGCAAATCATTTTACTTCTCTGTTTCCTGCAGGAGTGAAGAGTTTGTACCAGCTGTGCAAATGCAGGTTCAAGGATGTGTCAAATGAAAGAGACACAGAACACCTTCCCGGTCCCTCAGTCGTACTCCAAGATTTTGGAGACAGAACATACTTTGTGTTAACAGGAACACAAATATTCTTCAGTAGAATGCAAAATCAAGATGAATTTTAAGACGGAACTCAAGATTTTCTTGGCAGAGTTTGAGGAACATTGAATTCTCTAAGTTTCCTTTCTCTCCAGTGCTCACTTTCCATGACTGTTTCAGCCTCTGAACTTCTGTCTGTGTCCTCTAGGTAACCTCCTTGAGTAGAGAACATCCTCGTCCTCAACAATTCTGAGTAAAGAAGGCATGGCTGTAATTTTAGAGAATGTGCCATTCTCTCCCTCCTCTTTTTTTTAATTGTTGTTCGAGTACAGTTGTCTCCAGCTTCCCCCACCACTGTCACGTCACCCACGCCAGCCACCCCCACCTCCCTCCCTTGATCCGCCCCCTGCCCCGCTTTGTCCATGCGTGCTTTGTCCATGTTCCTAAGGAGATGCCGTGTTGCACACATGGCGAACATGAGACTGCCAAGCAGACGCCCTTTGGAGTCTGCTTTCCGAAATAGCAAGAACCATTTAAAATTAATACATTTTAAGTACCTATATATAGCAAACTGAAATTCTAGAAAGGCTTCTTATATAGACAAAAATATTCTTTCTACTTAGTTTTAGGCAGCCTTATTATCAAGCATTCAGAATTCGTGGCATACAACTCAATGAGCTTTTAACCTTGTAGATAACCTTGAAAGTTAGTTTTACCCAAAACAAAACCCCTTATTTGAAAAGAGCATTCTAGGGTATCATCTTCCTCACCTTCTTCAGTAAGAATCCTATTTCTAATGATGTGAAGCTGATTTTAGTGTCTGTATTATTTACCTCCCCACCATGGTGAATCAGCAGTAATTACAGGTTCAGGATTCAGTTCTTTTCCCCATAGTTCATTGTAGAGGCTTCTAATTATTGTGGGGTTTTCAGTATATGTTTGTCTCAAGTTCTATCAGTTAATAAATAAAACTGTAGAAAGCCAGTGACTTTGAGGGGGAAAGGAGATGGGTGGTGCTCATATTCATACCCCCTGCTAAGTATTTTCCTCTCCTTATTTAAAATAAAATCACAGCTGCTTCTTGAGAAAAAACGATTTGAAGTGAAATTAGCAAGAAAAGAAATTGCCAATTTAAAAATGAAAGATGTTAAATATTTCTGGATCTTCCCAGGATTCCTCTTAGAAAAACCAGCAAATCTGAATTTTAGCATCTTTGCTTGACTTTAAAAAAAAAGTGATCAGATTTAAATTATACAGCTGTCAGTATTTAAGCCAGAGAGTTCACAGTAGACAGGAAAAATTGCCTCTCTAATACTGGTATAATTAGGCTATACTGCATATGGAGGCCTCTGTGAGTTCTTTCTCCAGTTAAAAAAATGCAGTGTTGCTTGCCGCCGTTCTTTGTCATGAAATGAACTAGGTAGTCTTTTTAAAAAATAAAAAATAAATTTCTGAAACAAATAGGCCATTTCATGGCATTTTTGACAAAATATATCATTTACATCCTGAGGTTGCTCTTTTTAATTTATTCTGTTTTCACAAGAAGTAATCTTTTTTTGAAAAACAAAGCCAAGTAGATAGATAGATAGACAGATAGACAGACAGACAAATAAAATAATGAGGTCTTTATGTTACAGAACAACAAGGCGGGGGGGCCTGGGATGATATACTGTTACTGAAAGGAACCCCCCTAGGTTCGGTATGTCCACCACCAGAGGAAAGATGTCTCTCAATGCCAGAGATTCGTGAAAAGGAAAGGAAATGTTTATTTAATGCTATACAAACTTAAAATAGTGACGTAATGTCTTCATCAAAATCCCAAAATCCCTTAAAACACCCACATACATACACAGTACTTCCTTCCCCCTTTGCCCAGTCTGGGGTACCGTATCTCAGGAAAGTAAATAGAAGTCCATGGCTCAGACAGCCCCCAATTCTTCCCAGTAATCCGTCTTGGCTGGGAGGCCTCCCTGGGTTCCCAGCACCATCAACTGTGTCGCTGGGATCTCTGCTAAAGCCATGTAGTGATTTCCCCTTCTAAAGCTGTGGGGGTCCCCACTCTGGCAAAGGCACGTGGTCCTCTCTCCACCGCTCCAGCTGCGTGGTCCTCTCTCCCCCAGGGCCACGGGAGTCCCCACTCAGCCAAAACTACGTGGTTCTCACTCCAATGGCTGCCGCATCTGGGTTTAAATCCCCACGCCAATCTTCCTCTGCAGCCCCATTTCTGACTCCTCCCACACTTGGCCATACTTGCCCTCAATCTCCCATCCTTTCCAGCTTTTCTGGCTGCCATCGTGGGTCTGGGCAGGTGTGGCCCCATGTCATGGAGCCAATCTTCTCTGAGCTCCCACACAGGCGCTGTAACTCGAAGGACCTGCCCCCCAGTCACATCTTGGGTGGGAGAGTCCCTTTCCATCCCCCTGGCCCAGAGCATGGCCATAGCTATTTAGCATATCTAAGTGACCAGCTGAAGGCTATAGGTATGTTAAATGACCATGCCATGGATTAGCTGCAAAGCTGTTGCTGTACAAAACAGCCCTGCATGTTCTTGCTCTGTGTGCCCCTTCCCCCAATTCACACCTGTGGGGGAAGGGGTGAAGACATCTTAAAATCTCCTGGACACCTTCAGTTCTGGACCCCATTTCAAATGCCCATTTGGGGTCCCCCCTCTTGGCTGCACCCTGTAACATTTAGTTTAATTTGAAAGGTCCAGCTGTGTGTGTTCTTTCCATTCTGGGAGCTCAGAAGAAACAGGTTTTGTATTGCTTTTCTCATATTTAGTACAATTGTATAGTTGAGTCGCTTTTCAGTAATTCAGTGGTTTGAGGAGGGGGATGTCTGACCCTCTCCGATCATCGCTGCCAGCCCTCTCAGACTGTGCCTCAGTCCTGCACGCACTCCAGGAACGGGGCAGAGGGCACACGGCCTCTTTGTTGTCGTTGGACTTCTGTTGTTGTTGTTTTAGGACCTTTTTTTCCCTTCTGAGATTAAAAATAATGGATTATTACCGATGTTTATATGATCCTTTTCTTAGGCCCAGTTTTAGCAATATACAGAAGTGACTGGAATGTGTTTTCTGACGTCAGTCTTGCGTAAAGGAATGGGAAAAGGGAAATACTCTCCTCACCAACAAATTGTCAAACACCGAAAGTGAATGTGGGCCAAAAAATAGCTCCATTTAAAAATAAGGTTTTAAAGGACTGTTGCTGTTACTAAAAAGATCAAAGTCATTTTAATATCTTACTCAAATGTCAGTTTTCATTTTTAAATTGTGCTTTTGGTTTGTTGCATAATGCCTGACACATAGGCCAACAAGAAATGTTTACTTAGAAAGAATTTTAATCCATGTCTCTTATGTCATGCATCCTTTGATATTTTCACGATAAGCTGTCCACTTTTGGACATCATATCTAAAATAGAGACCATGTTAATGTCCTTTTAGAATCTATGTTTGTTCTGAAAGGTCATGTGATTATAGTAACACCCCCTGGAAATAATCAGTAGGTATTTAAAATGTTGTCTTTTATGAAGACTCTTGGTAACTTTTTTCATGGAGTTATAGTTGTATTAATGAAAATAACATTTTAACTTTACGTTTTTTGGCCTAGAAAAAAAATTGTTCTATAAATTCTAAATGTGGTTGAATGAAAAAGTGTGCACATGCTAAGTGGAAGTGTGCACTCTTCCTTGTGGGACAGTGACAGTTCTTTTCCTTTTGAGGGACATCTTAGTCTTGGAGAAAGTGTGTTTTGTTCTCAGGCTTTGAGACTGAGAATTGTTGACCCATCCCTTTCTCATGGATCTTTGTTTTTTTTTCTCTTAGTGTGGCTGTCACCAGGTCCAGAGATGTGCCGTCCTTTGGACCTCCCATCCCCAAAGGGGTCACTTTCCCTAAGTCAAATGTGTTCAGGGACTTCCTCCTGGCCAAAGTGATAAATGCAGAAAACGCTGCTCATAAATCGGAAAAGTTCCGGGCTATGGCCACGCGGACGCGCCAGGAATACCTGAAAGATCTGGCAGAAAAGAATGTCACCAACACCCCTATTGACCCCTCTGGCAAGTTCCCCTTCATCTCTCTGGCCTCCAAGAAGAAGGAAAAGTCTAAGCCATATCCAGGAGCCGAGCTCAGCAGCATGGGGGCCATTGTGTGGGCCGTCCGAGCCAAAGACTACAACACGGCGATGGAAATAGACTGCCTTCTAGGGATCTCCAATGAGTTCATCGTCCTCATTGAACAGGAGACAAAGAGTGTGGTTTTCAACTGCTCCTGCAGAGATGTGATAGGGTGGACCTCCACTGACACCAACCTCAAAATCTTCTACGAGCGAGGGGAATGTGTTTCAGTGGAGAGTTTCATTAATGAGGATATCAAGGAAATTGTCAAAAGGCTGCAGGTGAGTCTTTTCCTCCTGCTCACCCACCTGCAGTTCCCCTTTTACAAAGCTGTCAGTACAGACCAGAGCCAAACTACTGGAGCTTGTACTCTTTATTAGGTCCTCGGAGAACTCCCCTTGATGATGTGAAGCAACACCAGACTTATCTTAGAATAAGCTGGGAGGCCACACTTCGTGTGTGTGTGTGTGTGTGTGTGTGTGTGTTGGAAACCCATTTGCATGTGACCTGATCCCACTGCCCTGGTGACTGATGAGGTGGCCCAGCCAGTCTGCTTTAGTTGTTGCAAAGAAGCGTTTGATTGGGCATCTGCTGCTTGGAATTTTTAAGGGCAAAATGAGTAGCAGAATATGGTTTCTCTTGTCTGCCAGCCCCTTATAGGTTTCTATGTGAGGTTTCCTTGTAACTTCAGTGAAGCTATTGAGTTCTTTGGATGCAACAAGTGTGTTGCCTTTGGCCTAATGAATGGAGACTAGTGAAGGGGAAGTAACCAGATGGCTGTTCAGCTGGCAGCACGGTATTCAGAAATGACCCTGCTTGCACTGTTTTAGTGCCATGTCTACCACTTAATGTCCTCTTTCATTAAACGATGCTATCTTCTGTTTCCTCATCTAGTTTGTGTCAAAGGGTTGTGAATCGGTGGAGATGACTCTGCGCAGGAACGGGCTAGGACAGCTTGGCTTCCACGTCAACTACGAGGGCATCGTGGCGGACGTGGAGCCCTACGGCTACGCCTGGCAGGCGGGGCTGCGGCAGGGCAGCAGGCTGGTGGAGATCTGCAAGGTGGCAGTGGCCACCCTGAGCCATGAGCAGATGATCGATCTCCTGAGAACGTCCGTCACAGTGAAGGTTGTCATCATCCCCCCGCATGACGACTGCACCCCACGGAGGTAGGTCTGAGTTGGCGGCTGGGAGCCCAGGGCCGGGCCTGTGTGCCGTGAAGCGCTCCTGCTGGGGAGGGGAGTGAGGTGCGATGCTGGACATTCTCTCCATGGAAAGTCTGACTCAGGACACAGCTTCCTTTTGGCATGTGGCAACAGCAGCTGGAAAGAATGACTAACTTGGATCATTCCCAGGATTTATAGCTCTCAATTTATAAAGTTGCTGTTGCAGATAGAAGGGTCTGGTAATAGCCATCTTAAACATCTTGCACCAGTAGCTGAGAAGCATTGCACACTTAGCATAAAAGATGTTTAGCACCACACACACTGTCAGACTCTTTCCTTTTGTGTTCTGTGACACACCCGTTCTTGGAAACCTCCCATTTGTGCCGTGCTGCTGTCCAACATTCCAGGTGCTGCTCTGACCCTGGCTATCTCAGCCTGGGGGGCTGAATGAGACTAAGTGTGACTGAGCAGGCTTTTTTATAACTGCATCCGTGTGACAGTAACTGGACTCAAATGAGCTGATCCTGCTCTTTGTCCTTTGGCTGTTGGTTCCGGCCTTTTCCCACAGGGAAGCCCACCAGCTCCCTGCCCCTCCCAGCTGCTGCCCAGCCAGCAGTGCTGTTGAAAATCTAATTTCTCTGCCTCTGGGGGGGGTTTCTTGATGGAACAAATTTAATCAACTGTTTCTATTTTCCTTTGGGCACACAAATGCTATTTTTGCTAGCCTACCCCCAAACTGTTAACTTACTTTGAACCCATTATTTTCTAAGAGTTTACCTTAATGTTTGTCAGTGACATGCTAGGCCTTCTAAAGCCAAGACAATACTCCTTATCCTGTTTTTTCCCCAAAACATGACCAGTCTGCACCTGAGCTTTCAGAGCTTCATGGACATCGGATGGTGGAATGTCCGGAAGTTACAATGGGTCATTGGTGTCGTTTAAAAAATAAGCAGCAATGACAATCTAAATGTACTTCAGTTCTTCAAACCAAGCATTACATACCAGACCATGGTGGCATCCCCTACTACTGCTGATCTCCTCGGTGGCCTGGAGACTCATGTGCCTCCATCAGAGTGTGGTGACACCCCTTCATCTAACAGCTGGAAGAAGTGCTCCATTTTGGATGACTGGATTTCTCTGGAAACCAGAATATATGCCACGAGCTTTTTATCTGAGCTTTTTTGAGAGGTGGAAGGAAATATTCTGAGATTGCCTTACACACATTCCCTGCCTTTGCGTTAACCAGGTCTCCTCTGGTTCCTTCAAGCTCATCCTCATTGGGGGTCAGCGTTCCGCTGAACGGGATTCAAGAATGGCTGCTGAGGTGCATGAGAAAGGTGGTGCGGTTCTTACACACCCTCCCGCTGCTCTGCGCTCGTCTGCCGTCTGTCCCTTGAGCTCCTCCTACAGGTTGCCGCCTCTCTGGCCTCTGAACAGGAAATTATAAACTGGAGAGGAACACCAGGCCTCGTGACTTCTCAACCTTAATCGCACACAGTAGAGTTCTAGCTACTAGTTTAAGGACTGATCTACCCAAAATGAAGCCCGGAGACCCCGTGCCACCGTCTTGTGTGTTCAGAGATCCTTCCCCTTGTTTCGAGTCCCCAGTTTGGATTGGGGGGTGGGAGGGTGAGGGGGAAATAGGTGTATGTAAGGAAACAGAGGGAGTGGGCAACACTGTGGGTGGTCGTTCCTGGGAAGATGGGCCCAGGGGCCTGGCCCTGGGTAGAGAGATCTGTGATAGGAGGGGTTTATCTACCATAAGATACTAGACTAGTATGTCTCCTTGTGGTGTGTTGGTAAAAACAACTAACATTGCTGAGTGTCTAATGAGCCAGGTCCTGGAAAAGCACTTTTACATGGATTAGTGCCTTCAGTCCTTCTAACAGCCCTGTTAAGTAATACTGTTAATATACTCAGTCAAGCTCTTAACTGCTACTTTGTATGCTTGGGGTGCAAATCCTTTCCTCCTATGCCAGCATAAGCAGGGACTTGGTGAACTGGCTTTCTGTTGGCTAGAAGAACCTTGATTTGGAACGTTTGCGGATTACTGCCGTGTAAAGACTCCCATTGCGGCCAGTTCCAAGCTACTAACTTGACACCACTGGATGCAGAGTTGGGATACAGGCTTGTCGTTTGCCCCTGCAAATCTGGCCAGGCTGCTCCCTCCCATCAACCCCGAAATGAATGAAATGTATTTGTCGTCTCCTCCCAACACTGCTCTGACTCACTAGCTGCCATCCTCTCTAGCCCGTGGAGCTGAATGCGACAGGACCGAGGGTGTTAGGATGCAGGACGGGGAGGCGGGGACGAAGGATCAGTGCAGTGCACAGTGTCTTGGGCCTCGGAGATGCACTCTGCTCCTTTCACTGCAGTTTCCGCCAGAAATGCCCCTGCCGGCCTTCTGAGCAGGTGTGACATGATGCCACAGGTGCCTTCGAGGGCTGAGAGCCCTGCTCTCCCCATCCCTCCTTCAGACTGACTTCAAAGGAACAGTTGAAGCATTAGCACCTTGCTATTAATTTTTAGCAAAATAAGATAATTCTCTTCTTTTTACCCTGTCTCCTCCACACTTCACACTCCCACTTTTGTTTTCCTAACAACTAATTAATTGTTCTCTTCTTTGACTAGTCACGCTCTTCAGTTGTTAACTGCTGTGCTGCGTGAGGCAGAACAGGCCCCCTGGGGGCACACTGCACCCCCCCCACCCCACCCTCTCCACAGGGTCACCAGTTACCCGAAGAGGCGATCTGGTGATCATACATAATTACGGACACTCATGTATGTTTTTGTGTGGGAGGGTCATTAGTTTTGAAAAGGCAGCAGTGTTTTAATGAAAAAATCCAGTTTAACAACAAGAAAGTGGGGCTTCAATAACAAATGTAAAATAGGGCTCTTTTCTCTGTTCTCAGGAAATTAAAAAAAAGACCCCTCTATGAATATTTGGAAGTAAAGTTTTTTAAGCAGAAGGGACAGGGAAAGTCTAGCAAAATTTCTGAGTCCCTCCTGTGTAGTGGGCTTTTTAAAGAAAGCTTCATGGCAACCTTATTAACAGGAAAAACAGTGCTGAGAATGGGGTTGCGAAAGGTTCCGTAGCTGCCCAAGGAGCCACCCACCAGCTGCTGCAGACACAGGTTTGCTGCTCACCTGCGGACTTGCCTAGGAGGCTTGCCACTGGAGTGAGACGGCAGACTGCCGGAGGGGCCCCTCACTCTCCTGCATCCACCACAGGCCCTGGAGGCCATGACCAGGGGTGATCTGTTGGTGTCGGCAACCTCAGCGTCTTCAGCAGGCGTTCTCTTGGCAAGAGGAGAAGCACCCAGAGAGCAGATTAAACTGCTGTGTTGCTGCCCCGGTGGCGTCGCACGGGAGGGAGCTGGCGTCGCACGGGAGGGAGCGGCGACCTCCATGCAGAGGGAGCCAGTGGCCCACGGTCGGTCGGTGAAGAGAGCAGTCACGGGCCCCTCGGGCGGGAGAGCGGAAAGCAGACACGTTAAGTAAAGGGACCAGATTACCTTGTAAACAAAACGGGTCACAAGGGTTTTTCTTCATTTTGAAAAACCAAGTATTTCAAAATGCAAAAGCTGGAAGGGCAGCTGTTAGAGGACATCTGGTTCAAACCCCTCGTTTTTCAGGTGAGGGTAAGTGCTTTGCCTGAGCCGAGTCGCGGGGCTCATCAGGGACCTCGCTGTCCTCAAACACCTAGTTTTTCTGAGGCAAGAGTCCAGTACGGTGTTTTTATTCAATATGCTGTTCAAGTGTTTTTCTGTCTGTATTTCTCAGTGTCTTAAGGAAAAAGGTGAGGGTAATAGGTAATAAGAAATTAAAGGAAACAAGTAATTTTTTAAAAACTGAAAGAAAGAGGAGATGAAGTGGTGTTTCGGTTAACTCCCGGTTTCAGCACGTCGCCCTGTGTCGCATTAGCCCTGGATTTGTAGTTCCCGTTGGCCGCAGCTCTGTACAGATCGCTGGGTTTTCCGTCTTCTCACAGGCTCCGCCCTGAGTGAAACGTGGTAAGACACTCGGAGGTGAAGAAATGTGGAGACTTGGAGTAGAAGTATACTTTCATTAGAGACTGAACTAAGACTAACCAAAAGTAGATTGGTTCTACTTTAGCCCCTTGGTTCTGTGAGTTCAAATCCTGGCTCTTGCACTTCCTGGCTTGGTGGTGCTAAACATTCTGAAGTTCCCCGCGTGGCTCGGACTCGCCCTCTGCGGCCCCCGCGGTGCCGCCCACCTGAGGGCTGTGTCCCAGCCACCGGCCTTCCCTTTCCAGATCTCCCCGCCTCTTCTCAGTCTGGGAAATTCCTCTGAGGAAGAAAGGCTTTTTTTTTTTTTTTTTTCCCCCACTTAGTGATGAAATTCAAAACACAGTTTGAGTTAATGCTTTAGTGAGAATAGGTTATTTTGGTAGTGTGTCAGTCAAGTTAATGGTTTCTTGATCTTTCTTTGGTCCTTTTGGGTAAAGGGAATGGACAGTGGACTTCATGTTTCCTAAGGTTTGGGGTTGGGGTGGCCACACCCAAAGGGGCTAAAGTGACAGAAGACGTTTCTGCCAGCCATTCCTCTCACCGCCTGAGGACAGCCCGGCTACGGGCTGGGGGTTCATAACTTGGGTGGGGGCGGTGCCGGCGCAGGGAAGAAAGCCTGATTTCAAATTACGCTTTGTTTCCTGGTAATTTGATAATTGCAGAATTTCTGTAATTGACATTTTTTCCCCTCTGAGCTAAATTTGGCTCTCGGTTTGGATTTCAAGATTTCTCCCCACTTTATTTTCTGACTGTCAGAATCCCAACAAATGCAGAAGCGAACACCCCTATGCATCCCCAGTCCACAGTCCATGGGGAGGGGGTGTGGCGCTGGGTGCCGGTTTCCCCGAGGCTCGTCCTAGGCAGTCTGCTCCCTGCCTGTCAGGCTGCCCTGGGAGCCTCCCTCCTCAGGCCTCTGCACTGACTCTGTTCCCAACACCCCCCCCCACCCCCCACCCCCCACCCCCTGCCCTACCACGGTGACCCTGGGTCTCTTTGTTTTCAAGGACTCCATATCTCAGACTTAACAGTTGAGATTGAGCAAAGGAAGTGTAAGACTTCCCGGGGTTCTCGTTTTTGAAAGGAAACTAATTATAGGGCCCGGTGATTAAAACATGGTTTGAAACAGAGGATGAAGTGTTTGATCCATTTTAACTGTTAATGAGAAGCAGTGTGGTTGCACCAACAAGGAAAAACAACATTAATTTCTCTTCTCTCTGCCCTTCCCCTAACAGGAGTTGCTCTGAAACCTACCGCATGCCAGTGATGGAGTACAAAATGAACGAAGGGGTTTCATACGAATTCAAGTTTCCCTTCCGAAATAACAACAAATGGCAAAGGAATGCCAACAAGGGGCCTCATGCTGCTCCAGTGCCGTCCCAGGTGCAGAGTCCCATGACCTCGAGGCTGAACGCTGGGAAAGGAGACGGGAAGATGCCCCCTCCAGAGAGAGCCGCCAACATTCCTCGCAGCATCTCCAGCGATGGGCGCCCTCTGGAGAGGCGGTGAGTGCGCCTTCTGAGGTTCGCTCCAAATCGCTGCCCCTGGTTTAAATAGCAGCAGATTCATCAGCACGAGCTTTAAGGTCTTCCCACGTTTTACTAGAAATTGAGAGTTAAGGCTGAGATGCCTGCACAAGCAGCTTTCAGAGCACAGTAGCATCCCAAAGCCATAGGGAGAAATGAGAGTCTCTTCGCACGTAGCATTCAGCTCCGCGTTACGGTATTTGCTCTGCTCTTGCGTTCCCACGTGGGATCAACAGAAGTCCTTCTTACACACTCAGTAGCCGTCTGGATTAGAACTCGGCACACGCTTTGAGGTGACATTGACCATGTTATCATCTTTGACTGTCTTCATTTTGGGGGGATAAGTGGTGGAATAGCAAGAGAATGCAGGTTTTTGGCTGAGTACCTGTCACTTTGTTAATAAAAAAAATTGTGAGAAATGAAAAGAACCAGTATAGCATGAACATATTTGCCAGTGCTCTGAAAGAAGGGGAAACAACAGTGGATATGGCGGAGCACTCAGTCCTGAGTGAAGGGAGCACGAGAAAGAGGGATTGATTGAGGGGCCCCGGAAGGTGGGCACCAAGCACTAACGCCTCCCTCACAAGCGATAACAGGGAAGCCCTGGCACGTTTGTCTGGAACTGATGCAAAACAAAGCACTTGGAAATAGAATAGGCCAAAAATCAAACTGGATTAAGTACTTTTAAAGTGTAAATAAAAATTGGCTGTAGCATTTTACATGGCACTATAAAAAATCTGTGCAGTTTTACCCCTGCTTACCTCCGTACTGAAGGGGGCAGTTTACTTTAGTGCCCTGCTAGTCATGTGCTAGAAAAAGCCAGCTTCTCTGTCCATCCATGGTCCTTTCCCCATCACCTCTGCATGTCTTGATCTCATCTCCAAAAGTACTTGTGGCTCCTGCGCTAGGGAGGGATCAGAAGCTTCAGCTGGAAGAAGTCTTTGTTCCAGGAGCTGGGTGGGGTAGAAGGAAAGTCCCTGTGGAGCCAAAATGTGACCCTGGCTCATCTGAGCAGCAGGGAGCAGGTGCCACAAGAACAGGGGGGCAAGGAAGGTAGGTCCTAGTGATGCTTAAACAGTCATTGGTTCAAATTATGAGCAGAAAGCTGGTGGTTTTAAAAATCACACTATGTTGTCTTTTATCTTAGTCTAAATTTTAAGCTATTGCATAAAAACATCATCACTTAGTTATTTCAGAAATACTAGAAAACCATGTATAAATAATTCAGTAAAAAACAGACAAAGAAAAAACATGAGTTGTCTTTCCAAAATTCTTCATTTAATCCTGGAGACTTGTTTACAGAGCCTAGCTGTTTATCTCAAACAATTCCTCTCCCAAAGTAGCTACGTTTCCATCTGGACTCCTCATTTTCATTATTTTCAGAAAGGAAAAACATCCAAGAGATCTCTGAATAAATTCTTTGTTCTACACTTTCACAAGATGGCTCTCTCTGAGGTGTGTGCTAACTGGAATTCGTAATTTGGCCTGCATTTTGAAAGGTGAACCCAGGAAACCATTGTTAAGAGAAGAAGCTTCTTTTCCTTTCAATGCTGTTTTCTCTCCAGAACAATCACCGGGCTTTTACAAGTGAAATTAGTTTTGGGTTATTTTCTTTACACAATCTTCCATATAACACAATAGCAGAATATATTGCAATCTCACATTGAGTTTAATTTCTGCAACAGCAACCAGATTGTTGCTGACCATACTGACCTCCAAAAGTGAAAATATGTTTTCTAGCTAATTAGCTAGACAAGGCATCAGTTCCATGTTTTTCAGATGGAACTCTTCGAGTTCTGGAGGTTATTTCTGCATGTACTTGTGTCTGCCCTTCATCTTAACTCCACCCAGAGGAACAGGAATCTCAGGGAGTGCTCCCTGTCAAAGCCTGTGACTCTCTAAGCCGTACATAGACACAGGGGCAGAAGTGAGGCCGTCAGTGTTTTGGTTGGAAATTTAACCTCAGTTCCCTCTCAGGCCTCTTAGTTGTGGGCATTCTTCAGAACACTGGACTTGGATTTCAGATGGTATGATGGAGGGTGTGGGTGGCTTGGAAAGTCCCAGCCCTACATTTTCAAGATCTTCAGGTTTTTTGGCTTGTCTTCATTTTGAAGTATATGAGAACTTAGACAGATATTCTTTTGTGAAAATTTAAGAGTTCGATTTCCTATCCCACCATTCTGTATTTTTAGTAATATAGTATTAATTTTTATTTATTTTTTATAATTCTGAGGGTATGTTTTTTGATTTCTTCTTTTTTTAGGGAGAGAAAGGAAAGGCAGTGGGCAGGAAGAGAGATGTCTGTGAGAGAGAAACATCAGTTGGTTGCCTCCTGTATGTTCCCTGACCCAGGATTGAACCTACAACCTCTTGTGTACAGGGACGACACTGCAACCAACTGAGCAACCCAGCCAGAGAATACCATTTTATTTTCTAAATTTTAACTCAAGTCATGTATAGAAGGTTATAGTTGAGAACTCTTATTATTTCAGGAGTATTCAGGTGTGGAATGGACTTGTGACCAGGAATAATTCCTGAGTCCTTTGTGAATCCACAGATTCGTAAAGTTTACCCGAGAATATAATTTCTTCCATAAAATATACCAAATTTAGATGAAATTTTAAGCGTTCCTTTTACAGTCTTCCTGAGAACCAGACACCTCGCTGAGACACAGAAGCGAGGACCCTGGCTGCACACACATCCATTTGATTCCCCCGCTTTGCACCAGCCCTGCCCTGGGCGCCATTTACGTTTGTGCCTGGGCAGCCTCTGCAGTGTGGTGTGGGCCTCTCAGGTGAACCACAAAGAACAAATGACAAGGTCTGCTGTAAACTGGGTCTGGCCTTACACTAACAGTGTGAGCCTAACATGGGGACCAGCATACTGCCTGTACATAGTTCCATCACCCTGCCTTTCCTCTCCCAGGCCAGGCAAGTTGTGTCTGACGGTAGAGCAAGCAGCGGTGTGGGCTCACCGCATGGATTAGCCAGTCCACCCTGCGCGTGCACCACGACTAGACCTGGGCCTTCACACGGCTGGGCCCTGCATGGCTCCTTGTAGGTGGAGACCTTAGTTTACTGCTTGTAGAACCACAGGTTTGCTTGAATTGGATGCAACATTCTAGAGTTAAAGGTCATCAGGAACAATTTTTTAAAACAATAGATGTGAAACGGGTTTTTTTCTTCTTTTAATACCAAGGTCAGGATTTTTATGACATACTAAAACGTGTTGATATTTGGAGGTTCTAACGAATTATTTGGCTGAATTGTGTTCTCTCTGTACATTAAGAGAAACTGATGCAATGAGAACAGAATACCTATTTGCCATCTAAGTAGAATAAAGTCTAATTCTGTGTGGTTTAAATATATGAGCTTTACGCTCTTCAGGTGGCCTCTTGAATACGGAATTTTATAGTACTTGTGGGGCTGGTATTTGTTAACAGAATTAGTATTTATTCAACAAAAACAGGCACTATGATGCAATTATTGTTTTGCCCAGATTTATCTGAGTGTAAGGGTAGAATTGAAATAAAAATGGCTGGCTGCCACACATTGAACTTCGCTGCATTTATACATAAGGCAGGATCAGTAATAAAACTTCTATCTGTCTTCATGTGCTCAGAAAGTTTAGCTATTTCAGGGGCTTTACATAAACGACAGGCATCTTAGCATATAAAAGAATGTTCCTTTCTGTTTTTCTCTTCCTTTTTAGTAAATATATTGGGGCAACAGTGGTTAACAAAATTAATACAGATTTCAGGTGCACATTTCTATAACATATCACCTGTATACGGTATTGTGTGTTTACTGTTCACCTTTTTTTCAGATGCAGTATTACCAGCTGTTATATAAATATTTGGTGTTGGATCTCATTGAACTATTGGTGCTTTTGAGTTTCACCTGCCTGCCACACTGGTCTCCTTTCCCTGCTCGTTTAGCTCTCAGTAGCTGGAAGGAGAGTGCTTCCTCTTGGATTACAATAGAGGCAGGGACGGCTGTGTTCGCAGCCCCACCCCCAGCCTCCTCAGCAGGCACTCGGTGGGAGGAGTTTGCCTGGCGGACACTGTTGAAACCAGCAGAGTTCTCCTCTCAGTGCATACTAGTAATGTGCTCATCCAATTTTTATTTTTCAGAAAATGTTCTCTTAAGTTTATTTCATACAAGTTCTGGGCTAATTTTCACTGCATCATTTTCTACTTTGAGACAAAGCAAGTACCTGTTTAATCCTTACTCTTCCTTTATTTAGATTATTAGCTGTGGTTAGAAGTTTCAGGACTTGTGTTTTCCAAATACAGCCCACCTGGCTCCTAGTGGTTTGACTTGACTTACAGATTGTTAGTTCATGGGGCTTGGGAGCTTCCAGGGGGCGGCTCAGGCTGCATCCCTCTGACTCCCGATTTGTAAAGCTACTGCCACCCTCCTTCAGATTCCTGTTGCTTGTCTTCCAAAACTTTACTTATTTTTTTTTGGTCATTTCCTTCAAATCTGTCTCATCACACTCCAAATCTTGTGTCCTCTACACTTCCTCATGTTTCTTTTAGCCCTACATGGTGCAATATCTTGGAATAGTTTGTTTCAGTAGTCTCAGCCATCGTCTGTGTGTGTGGGCAGTTCCTCAATAGTATATATTTTGCCCTGACCTCTTTTTTTTACTTTCTATATTCATATCCTGACTGCCTACAGAACCACCTGTATGGGACTGTCACAGCGTCTCCTGCAAGTCCACCTGACTTCAGTTTCCCTCTATCACCTCTCCATTCTTGTGTCACCCACCTCGCTGAAGGACTTTGCCGTCCACCTAAGTATCCAGAGCAGAACTAGGATTTACAACCACCTTCCCCTCCACCCTCATCCCCATCCCCATCCCATTCAGTTTTCAGGTGCTTAACATCTGTTGAGTTCCTCATCTCTAAGCCTCCTCCTTGTCATCGAGTTAGGGACTCTCCTTTCACCGGAGGATCTTTCTGGCCAAAAGTCTCT